TGATTGGATTTTGATATAAAAACACAAAGAAATTGAGTTTTTGTCATACATTGTTCAATAGAAGTACAATTTAACTGAGGATGTGATCTTAAAGAGTTAAAATGACATTTTTCATATCACCAGGACTTTAAAAAAGCATTCAATGAGACAATGCCCCTCCAGACACGTATTAAGACGTTATACAAATTCTCTGCTTGGAAGAATAATGTGTTTCTGATGTGTTTGTTCTGCAAAAAAAAAAGCATAATTTCCAAATTAAAATCCTTGAAAAAAAATCCTCTTCTCCTTCTGCCTCATTAAAAAAAAACACAAAATGAAATGAATGAAAATGAAAATGAAATATGCAACTTTGGTTCATTTCTAAAGTTTTCCTGCTGGACACAAGATGTCTTCTCCTTCACTTTAAGTCCATCCTCAGTGTCTGAGCACTGCTGGATCTCACTGTAGAAGCTGCAAACTGGACCAGGATCGACTTCCTGAACTATTAGTGATGTCACAAATCTTCCTGGTAGGCCCCGCCCTTTAAACTTTCCAATTTTTGGCAGATGAATGTGAAAACATCCTTCTAGTGTCAAACTCTGCACAGACGTCATCCAAACATCATTCAAACATCACTCTGTAGGAACAAGAACTTATTTCTGACCGGAGGAGCTTTATAAATGTGAGAGGAAGAAAGAGATAAAGGTATCTGCGTGCACTCAGCAACAAGTGGTATTGAGCCATCTGGTATCAGCTCTACATAAACAATATGTGAGGGGACGGGAGAGAAAAGTTCACGTAAAGCTTTGTCGAGTTACCCAGCGCTGCGTACAATAAATAGTGTTTCACTGCAACAGCTGACAGTGAGCGAGAGTTTCTTCATCTGCTGACTGAAACCAGCTGCTGCAGATCCTCCGCGGCACGTCGCTGCCCGTCCCTGACCCAGATATAAGCTGCACTTTCAGGAGCTATTTTCACACTGATGTAACGCGCAGCGATGCTAAAGTTCAGACTCATTAAACATCCAAAAGACCGGACACATGGTGGAGACACGTTCGCTGCGACCAAATCATTAAAAATAACTTAAGAACAGGAAGTATGAGCGGAGAACAGCCTGTTCCAAGATGTATTTTCATTTTGGGAGACTTCATACATTTCAGATGGGAATATTTGGCTTCGTGCGGGAACCACTCGGCACGTACGAGTGATTTAAGAGAACTGCAGTACAAGTCATGTACAAAGAGTCTGCCAAATGTCTCCACAGTGGGAAAAACTGTAAGAAGTATGTGATAATTCTGAGGCCTTAAAACTGAATGAAGTTGGAAAAAGTTCCTGTAATTAACAAAAATAAGATAATAATAATAATCTGTTCCTAGAATGGTCTAACTATTTTGTCTTTATTCACAAAATAATCTGCTGATAATTAATTATGATAATACAATAATTAATTAACTGTTTCTGGTTGTGAATATGTTTGTTTTTCTGACCTGGATGGCGGTGGTAAAGGTGGAGCTAACCAAATTACTTTATATACTGCTGGGTTCAATATATAGTCTTATCTTCTCTAATAATGCAGAGTAATTGATTTATTGATTATATTTTGTGTTTTTAATCTGAAGCTCGAATTAACTAAAAGCATCAAATAAATGTAGAGAGGGAGGAAATGAAAAGTATAAAGCAGATTATAACCATTGTTTTAATTCTCGTTTTATTTGTTATTCTGAGTTATATTACAATATTAGTAACTGGAGGTTATAATTATATTATATAATAATAATAGTAGGAAATATATTAATAATTATTAGTATTCATTTTAATTATGTAATAATTAGCAGTAATATATAAATATTAATATAACTGGATAAAATACAGTAAAAATACATAGTAATATAATATTGTTCTATATACTGTAAATTGTATTCCAGTACAATTACAGTAGTTTATTGTAAATCCAAATACAGCAACTTTCTGGCAACCATGCTGACAGTAACTTACTGTAAATATACAAGGAAATCGTTTACAGGAGGAAGATTTTCTCCACTGTTCATCACCTGCTGGTTTCACTCCAAACACTCAAATGTTATTTAAGAGTTCGCTGGCCAATCAAACAGCCCCGGGCTGACACCAGAGAGTCACCACGTCTCTCTCTGTGGTGAGGAAGGAAAAGTCTTTGATGTCTTCTCTCCTCCGTCCTGCACATCCCTCTGCCAAAAGTGCTGCGTTCTCCCTGTGATCTGATAGCAGGTAATTGGCCTAAACTGCATCTAATTTGCAACAAACAGCGATAATCACAAGGTTGTTTCGTCACATTTTCAGCCTCCTCCAGGGAGGAGCTTTAAGTGGCGAGTGACGACGATGAAGTTGACTTCTGGTTCAGCAGTTGAGGGGAAACTTAAGGGAGACTTAACTTACAAATCCTCCTTTAAATTAGTGAAAACTTTATTCTACTGCTAAAATCTAGACCACACTGGACCAGGTCTCTTTCAAAAACCACTATAGCTAGACTTGTCGAATCCAGAGAGGTCAGAGACTCAGCTTCAGATTCATAAAACCTTTATTCTATTTGTGAAAATGCAAAAAAGGGCAATGTCACTGTTTTAAAGGGGAACTTGGCAACTTTTTCAGCTTTTCAAAATCTTTTGGATGGTTAAATGGCCTGTTCCGGTGAAAATGGTGACCCCCCCACCCCCCTCAGGCGACCCCAGGCGGAAAACCAACCTTGCAACTTTGGGACTACCG